CCTGAGGAACATCTTTCAGCGCACGCGTGACTACAGCTTGAAACCGGCCATCAATGCGATGACCCGGCAGATAGCCAGCCTCATGCGAGACTGGAAGACCTCACTCTGGCATGACCAGCTCCGGAGGACTCATAATGACCACCGCCAGTTCTGGAGACTGGTCCGAACGTTCGTTAACAAGAAGAGGACTGTCCACCTGACGTCGGGGAATGAGCTGCTGACACCTAAGGAACAGGCTGAACTCCTGGCCAAAAGCTATGAAGCGAGGGATGCTGAGCGGACGAGAAATGCACCACCAATGCCGGAAGGACCACTGCCCAGTCCCAACGAAGAACCCGTCTTCTCTACCTTCAACCAGCTGGAGTCGACGCTACGACGCACCAAAGGAAACAAAGCGTCTGGACTGGATGAGATTCCGTACGTACTGTTGAAGATGCTCCCTAGGAAGGGTAAAGCCTTTCTACTGAACATATTCAACTCATGTCTTCGAATCTCATACTTTCCTACCGCATGGAAACAAGCGATCGTTGTACCGTTACTCAAGCCGGCGAAGAACGGGGACTCAGCTGAGCACTATCGTCCGATCAGCCTCCTCTCGCACATCAGCAAGATTTTCGAGAGGCTAATCCACCATCAGCTTATGAAGCACTGCTGGAAAGAGAGCATCATACCACCAGAGCAGACTGGTTTCCAGAGAGGGGTCGCGTGTGAACACCACCTAGCTAAACTTCAGGCCCACACAATAGATGAAATGAGTCTCAACAGAGCTACGGCGCTCATCTCTTTGGACTGCAGTCAGGCCTTTGACTGCGTGTCACACACGCATCTACTTCGCCGTCTGGAAGAGTTCAGGTTTCCTACCACTCTATGCCGACTGATCCGAAGCTACCTCAGCGGAAGATCTCTCGTCGTACGAGTTGGTACAGACTACTCAAACCCAGTCGATACCACCTGCGGAGTACCTCAAGGGTCTGTGTTGGGGCCAATACTGTTCGTCGTTTTCACGGCGCCAGTGGTGGCACTCAAGCATCCAAAGGCGGTGGTAGCAGCCTATGCGGACGACATTGGCATATATGCTTCCAGCATCAACGCGGAGACTGCACTCACTCTGGCACAGAATGCTTCAGCCACAATTGTTGAAGAGCTAGAAGAGATCGGTATCAGAGTGAATCCTGCGAAGACTGATGCTATTGTCATGTCGTTTCAGAAGGGAAAGAAGCATCTACCCACACAATTCACCGTTGGAGGAGTTTATCATAAAATTTCTACCTCGATTGTCTACCTCGGCGTCACGCTAGATAGACATTTGACCTTCTCCAATCACGTTAGGCAGAGGATCAAGCTGGCACGAAAGAAGTCGCACCGGCTCTACCACCTACTGACGTCGCCGCAGCTCTCGCTGAGACTCAAGCTCCAAATTTATAAAGCTGTTATAAGACCAACACTGCTCCACGGGGCCCCTCTCCTGCGATACCTATATAAATCCACGCTTACGAGTCTACAGGGCTTCCAGAACTCTATCCTTCGGCGAATTGTCCGTGGCACCACCCTACAAAGGGCTAAGAATCAAACAATACGCGAGGAGCTCCAGCTCCCCTCGGTACCTGAGTTCATAGGCCGGAGGCACATCAAATTTTTTGATGGGCTGAAGGCCTGTGCAAACCCACTGTTCAATGAGATCTCACCACCACCCAGACCTGGGAGGTGGCAAGGTAAACTCCCTTTGGTGGACATACTCGCCGAAGGATGTGGTCTGGTCTCTGCGGCCCAAACTCATTAATTTGTATATATTGTAAATAATAAAACATTAGCAGAACGGTCCTTCCCCGTTCAATGTCAAAGTCACAAGGCCTTCTGCCACATATGTAACCTTTAGCTATCCCCAATCCTTAAAATGCCCTCGGGCAGTGGAAGGAATTTATTACATGTTTATATTGTATTATTGTATACTATATATGTAATTGTTTCAATAAACTTTTTGGAGGGTAAGAAAAAAAAAAAAATAAAAAAAAATAAATAATTGTTGTTAACGTTTGAATACGACTGCCGACGGTTGTCTGTTTTTTTATTTTTGTAATGTCCAACGACTTTATCACGTCTGCTCGTTTTACGTTTACAGTCTACCTATAAAACGAACGAACGAAACTGACATTACCTATTTATGGTGAGTACATAGAATTATATTAAACTCGGTACATCAATGTATAATTGAATGGCCTTTAATATCAGCCTTTATTCTCATTGATATCTCTTGACAGAATTAAAATGCTTGATGATTGAAATTTCTTCTTTTAAAGTACCTTTAATTTGCTTTATTTTAACTAATTACCCCTCTGTCATTGCCAAAAGTAAAAAAAAAAATGGCTGAATATAAACTTTTGTTATTGACTAAAGGATGAAAAAAAAAGAAAAATTTTTTCTTCTTTTTTATTTGGAAGTTTATATAATTCATCATTACATTGAAGTTGGCAATAAAAAATTTCAATTATAATTAGTTAATGTTATATTTCATATCATATCTTGATGTTTCGGGACTTCATCAGCAGAATTAATTTTCTCAGTAAAATTCAATTTCTTGACATGATAGGAATGATTTAATTTCATTTGTCATATAACTGATATAAAAGTTTCCGTACTTTTTAGCTGGGCTATATATTAACTGATCAACGATTGATCAGCTTTAACAAATTTTAATCTTTAATTGTTGGAAATTTTGTCTAGAATCTCCCCCTCCCACAGAATTTGCCCATTAACAACTGAGATAGCTTGTATAGAGACTGGAGCTAAGTGGTTCAAAAAGAATGATGGATTTACGAGGTTTTTATTGCTTGCCGCCGATATAATAGGGTTTGTGTTTTGTGATTTTAATGATCCTAATGAGTTTTTACAGTTAGTTGGTTGCAAGATTTAAAGTTTAGCTCCGTTACAAATGAACTGTAAATTTTTGTAATAGTCCAACTATGTCAGAAAATAATTTCTGTTCAAAGTACAACACGGAAAGTGAAAGTTGTTTGATGCTACAACAGATTTTTTTTTTTTTTTAAATGTGTATTTATGTAGTTAATATAGTTTATTATTGATATTTTTCAGTACTAGTGTTATGAAAAAGGAAGAAAAAAAAATATAATAATGGACGAATGTAATGTAAGAGTTATGTTTATGAATTGATTAGTATGCAGTGTATAAAGCAACACTATATAGTAGGGCAGCATTACTTTCAATAAAGTATTATTCTCTCACATGATTATATCTGTGACTCAGAAGTAAAGGACACACCATTTCCATTTTTTTTATTAAATAATATAGTTACTAATAATAATAAGGATATGCGACTCCGAAGATACGATGCCGATACCACCTTATTCATTCCACCGAACGCCGTCTAAACCACACATCCTGCCGGATAAGCTATTTAACGCAATCTTCCCACCTTCGCTTCGGTCTATCCCTCAGACGCTTACCAGTCAGCAGAGCGCATATTAACCATTTTATTCGCCTAAACATAATCATCTCAATTATATTAACCAGTTAAAGTTCACGCATTTCAGCGTTGACTCATCTTTCTTCTCATCTGAATATTCTACGCAATAATTTATTTTCAAAAACCTTAAGACGTTGCTCATCCCTTATTGTAAGCGGTCACATTTTACTTACATAAAGAACCGTAGGAAGAATGATGGTTTTGTAAATTCTGATTTTTAAATTTCGGGACAACAGCCGCGAGCTAAGTAATTTTGCAACTCATAAATACAAATTTTCCTGCTTTTAATTTATAATACCGAAAGTGTCGCTATTTTTGCTGTTTATCTATATAGTTTGTCTTGTCCGTATTCATTTCGAACTCCAGTTCTTTACCGGCTTTCAATAACGTTGTTGTATTTAGCTTTATCGTGGCTTAGCATTGAAACGCCCTACTACCAGTCATGGATCTTCTTAAGGCAATTTACCAACTACGAAACAAATTTTAGTAGTTCAAAGTTATGGAACATCGGCTCCCCTGAACAAGTACAGAAAGGGATGTGATGATCTTTACCTCCGAGGAACAGATATTCACAGTATATTTTTTTAAAATAAATAAACCGAGAGCGTTCACAAAAAAGTGACGGGTGAATAAAATCTCACTTGAGATTCCTCAGAGCGAACCAAATCTGGGAGCAAATGGCATTAGCATGCCTTAGGAGAGGAAAGTGCCTTTTAACGTTTGGCTGAGAACAACCTATTCCATTTCCACAATTTTTCCTTTCCGAGAACAAGGAAGGGGATGGATTAAAATCAGCAAAGCATGAGGATGAGGAGAACATTAAATGTTTACTTCTGCTTTGCAAATTATACAGTAAGCACGAGTTTTCTCTCAGCCTCTCTGCGGGCTGTTCCATTAGTAATTATAATAAAAATGATTTAAAATAAGAGATTTCCAATCATTTCATTAAAATAATCATCGAAGATAATAAACAGTAATACTCCATAGCACCGCCTGACCCCTTCTTTTTGTCAATAATAGAATCTTAGAATAGAGCTGTGTACTGATTTTGAAAACTCCATATCATAGGTACAAAAGATGGATTGACAGATTGAAAATTCGGATATAAGCTTAAAAATTCTAGAATAAGGATACGTGTATATCCAAATAGTTCGACTCCAACATTTTAGGCCTAAAGTATTATAAAAATTAATTATAATATCAACGCTAGGAGAAAAATACAGTTTTATAACCATTAAATTAAATATTTTTTTTTAGTTATAGCTTCCTATCCTATAAATAACACGATTTACTTAAAAAAAACAACACAGGACTTGGATTTCCTACTGTCTTGCTAAAAATTGTCCAATTGTTCATATGAACTTTTTGGTAGCTCTTGAATTCTACTATAACTACAATAAAAATTTTGCTCTACTCACGGGACACCTTGTATATTAATGGAGTAGGAATAGCGTAAAAAAAACCTCTTAATTTTCATTTAGCTCAATTCAAAACAATGGTATAACATTAAAGTACTCACTTGTTTAGATGTAAATCGATCTGCTGTTCTTTTCCATCTATCCTCATTTTGATTGTAAGCTCGTCATGATGGTACAGGGAATCCTGCAAAATAAATGAAAGTGTATTAGTACTAAAAAAAAAATTAAACAAATATAAAAATATACATAATTATAAATTTTAAAAAATAGCAATCACATCTTTAAAACTGTAAATTAATTAATCTAAAAGCTTTCGACAATATATGGTGACGATCATACGGAGGCAGGCATGTGCTTCCCCTTGACGCAGGTCCTGTGACGGATGTAGAACAAATGTCTGGAAAAAAGTGGATTACGCCATGAGAACCGGGAAGGAAAACATTAAATATGGAGTAGATGGTCCAAGGGTGAGCTTTTTTTAATTTTTTTTTTTTGCCACTGCCTCTTCCAGAATCTACTGCACAAGTTCAAGACTAACAACAAGTAATATGATAATGCGAGAAGAAATATAAAGTTTTGTATTATTAATATTTAGGTGGATAGAATAAAATGAACGATTGTCACAGTTGAATCGATATATAAAAAATAAAATGAACAAAAAAAGTCTAGTTTTCAATAAGCCACCATTTCCCCTGCTTTTAAAAAATTAAATGAAATAAAGCACTTTGGAATCAACTGCAAGCAATTCATCACTCGACAGAACCGAGTTAAAGTAATATTTCTGTCAAAAATGTATCGTAATTCATTTAAATATAATTACTTTATTTATGACTAGCTGATATACCCATCGTTAACGGACGTATAGTTAAAATTTGAGAACCTTTTTTTTTTTAGAAGGATTTTGTATTAAGGGGGAGGTCCAAATTTAATTTCATGAAATTTGGTGGAAGGGTTGTTTTGAATTTTTTTATGGCGGAGCTCATGGAAGTGAAGGTTTCGCAATAGCCAAAATAAAAACTTTGTTATTCGGCTAATTGTTTGGGTACCACACAACCAAACCGACCACCATCGACCCATTAAAATTATTCAAGTGTTTAATTTTCATTTATGATAAAACGAGGAGATTGTGTAGTCGATTGAAATAATCAAAAAGAGTTTATCGCTGGAAAATAACTGAAATAGGATTGGACCTTGAGTCACCTACAACCGCGTAAAATCGGAATTTGATTTGTATATTGCGGCAGGCGGGGTGAAATTTTTGGGAGTTTTCTTCCAGATTTCCGGCTAATACGTTTGGTTAATCCTAAAAATGTATACGACAATATTTTTTAGTCTTGGGAAGTTGAATCGAATGACTTCTTGACCGGGAACTTCGGACAAAGTTGAAAAACGAGTTTGTTTTACCAGTGTTTTAAAGGACAACGCGTTACAGATGCTCGTTATTTCGGATTTTTCCCGTTTAGTTCTGATAATTTTTTCTATCAGTTGAATAATACAACTTTTAAATGTGGCTAGCGGTAGAGTAGGTTGGGATGAGAATCGAAGTAAGTAACTGCCTAACCGGGATCTCTAGACAAATTACACAAGAATTTATAACCTTGGTTCTACTCAATATTTTGTTTTCATTTAAAGCCTATGTTTTAAATGAAAAAAAATAAAATATTGACATGCAAATAGACAAAATTTTTTTTTAAAAATGGATTTCGTGTCTATAATATATGAAACGGGTTGGTTCTATTCAATTTACAGACAAAATTTTTATTTTATTTATATAGATTTTATTAAGTTTAAGGTAAAAATTCTTTATTACTTGCTTAAAGACGACATAATGGCCGAAACGTTGCTATGAAAACAGACATTGTGGAATGAATAAATATAAAGTGGAAAAATAAAAACCCAAATTATTTCATTTTTGGTTTATTATACAATCATTGTAATTGAGCAAGAAAACAAATTTAATCATTCCCTTTTCAAATACGTGATATTATGTTTTATACTGCTTTTCTCCTTGACTACAAAGCCAGTTTTTTAGTTTTTGTTTTCTTTTAAAGTTTCAAAAAAAAAAAGATAATTTATTCTTTCTTTCTTCTTTCTTTAATTATTCAGGGTATTTAAACAGAAATGATATACCATTTTTTATAATTTGCAGCGTTTTAATGGAAATAATTTTTTTCTGTCTCAATGCGCCAATTTGCATCTTTCTACGAACTGATATATAAAATTTAATCTGAATCCGTTGCCCACGTTTTATTTTCAAAAGTAACACACCGGAATACGAAATAATTACAACGGATGTTTATTAAAAAAAAAAATGTATCAAAGAATAAAAAAAAGGGAGTTTTCCAAGAACCGAGGCATGAAAGGCAATTCCGAATGAATTTTATGTATAAATAAACGCGGAACAAGGTAACGGTTTTAAATTAACAGAGAATAACCGGCATATATGTTAGAGGGCTTGTATTCTCATAAATATTTGAAATAACTCACTAATAAGTTACATAATTAAATATTTCGTAACTGATGTGTTTTTTAATTAAAAATGTACACTGAAAAGCTTTAATTTACGGTAATGTAGTGGGGGATCCCTTAAGTGAATTCCAGGCCAAAGTGAAGGATCATGTTTCCGCTTAATAGAGGCCAGGGATTAATTTAAGTAGGGCCTTGTGGTATATTGGGGAGGGGGGGGGGTCGGGCGAATATTGGGGGGGGGAGTCGGGCGAATATCATTCTTGATGAAATCAAAATGTAAAGTATAAGTAGAACTTATATTTCTAAAATACATTCCTCTTTCCTACAAATGAGAAAAAATACTGGAATGCTACAACCCATGTCTTGGGTCTTGTACTTCATAAAACAAAAACAAAAAAAAGTTTTCCTAGGTAAATGGTTAAGCAGAGAGGTAATTGGCCAATGATCGTGTTTAACCGCTAAGGTTTTTGGTCCTTTCAATTAATATAATGAAAAAATATCTACTACTTACAGAAACTGGGTGTGGCCCCAGGAGGTTCTCCAGATACCAGGATCGGTCCACGGCAGATGTAAGAGAGTAAATAACTATCGACCACGGCCGGTCTCGAATCTCAGACCATGAGATAAGGAGTTTTTTTATTCACTGAGCAAAAGCATTACTCATTGGTTACTTTGAGTATCTCCCTTTTCCAAATGAGGTGTGAGTAAAATTTACATCCGCCCAGGTGACAATGAATTAGGTATAAATGAATAAAATAAGCTACATGCAAGTAATACAATTTTTTGACGTAATTGATACCATGAAACTACATACTTTAGTTATATGAGAGATCTCGGATTTTAGTAAAAAACTGTCAAATAAAGAATATTGTCAGATCAGAAATTTAATCTGATGAATTAAATTTTGTGGTGAAAACTCGTGTTACAAATTCTCTTATATACCATTCAACGATTTCTTTTTAATAAGTCTTATTTAGGTTTTAAAATTTGAGAAGCTTTCAGTGTCCTGAGACTAAAAAGCGGGTACACTTAATTAATTTTTTTTTATGGCGTTAAGATTTTACACAAAATCTTATTTAAATTAAATATCCTATCCTAATTAAATAATTAATTAAGAAGGAAAACTTGGCGGTTGAGCATGATCTGGGTCAAATCACCTCCTTGCACAACCGTTGACCAAGATACAGTACCTTCCCTAAAGGGTGAAGCAAATTAAAGAGTTTTTGAAAATTTTAACAAATTAATTGTCTGTATTGGTCACCATTTAGCATATCGGTACTGTTAGTACAAAAGGTCGCAAGTAACAATTTTTCATATTTATTCTATTTGTGCTAAAGCTGACATATTGTAATCTCTAATTGCAAAAAGTAGTCTGTTATTATGAAAAATAACAGAGAGAAATTAAATACAAAATTATACTAAATCATGAAGAAACAATTATTTTTTATGATATTTTGCTCCTTTAAAATACAAAATTTTTATATATAACCTTTTGCAATGACCTTTTGAGTTTGTACATATTTAAATGAGATTAAAAATAAATCTGCTAAAGAGTTTTTGGTCTTATTTAATTACTGTAACCTTTCTTATATTTTTCTACGGAGTCTATCAATTTCACAGCGAGTCACTATACATAATAAATGGCTACTATTTGAAAAAATAAAATAAAAAACAGATATCAAAAAATGTCATAGATGAACCTTTTTTTATAATTTTCTTTTTAGATTTTATATTCATTGAGGAAGATCGATAAAACATATCGAACCCAACAGAAGATCGACAAATCTTACGACAACTTCATTAGTATTAATTCATTTCAATTGAGTAATTACTTAAGAATATTAATTTCTAGATATAAAAAATATAATTATGAACACGGAAAAAAAGGGAAACAACATGGGATTAATGGATTTTTTTTTAACCGGTAAATATTTAAAAATGAAGGGATTGATAATTAGAATTTTCTGCATTCCAGTTAGCATTCCGAGAAGCCGCTGAACGCTTTCGGAAGAGAAGAACTAAAATTCTTTAATTATAACAGTAATTAAAATATTCCAAGCTCCACGCTAATTAATCTTGTCCCTTTATTTTAAAAAATTTTTGATTAATTTTACTCGACAAACCTTGTTGATGATTTAATTTTGAATATTATTTGGGTGATAACTTTGCAGTGAAACCTACTTTAACCAGCTCTTTCGATTAACTGACTAAAACAGTTAAAAAATTAGATACATTTTTTCAGAGTCGAATAGTTTTAGCATTAAATTTAATTAAAAATTATTCTTATTGTTACTGTTTTAGCTATTTTAGAGGAGAAAAAAAAACTTCAACAGCTAAAATATACAAATTACCACCATAATAAACTGTACGAATTTGCTAAATGCAATGCATAACTACTATTTTTTTTTTCATAGGCCTTTGTTGTACTTCTATTTTTCATTTCTGTAAATTTTGTGTAAATCTAAATTGGCGATGGGGTTCACCTCAGGCTTATCTATCTCTTACAACTAAATTTGAAAACTAATCTTGTGTTAGTTGTTGCCAATGTTTTATAACGTTCGCTGGTATTAAGCTGTTGAAAATAGAGTTATCCAACTGTTGAGATTTTTCAAAATATGATTTCTCACACTTACTGAAAAATGCTCTAATTATAGATATATTTAGCACTACTTGTATTTCTAATGTTTTCATTCTCTGCATCGAGGTTCCTATTAATA